CTTCACAAAATACTGTCACAGCAACGGACCCTATATGCATGCCGGACTTTGTGGTATTAAACATGAATTCATCATTTGCAACAATATCTAATTATTCTCTTTGTTACGACAAAATTCCGAACTTTGAACACCTTATACACGGTTATGACATTCAATCTCTCTGTTTTGTACACCCCGAATTTTTCATTGTCAACAAAAGTTCATTATTTCTCAATAGATGTGGAGAATGGCTCCAGTTAATAGGTCCAAGCGAAAATGTTGTTAATTGTATGATCGCCGGTTCAGCCGAAATTACTTCAGACGGGTCGACTTATTCAATTGAAAGGAGGACAATAGGTGTGTTCGAAAATATATACAAAAGACTGACTTCTGGTGTGGATAACAAGCAAAATTTTATAACACAAGTAACAATGTTTGAAGTCGCTTTTGACTTAGGGCTTCCACCTTCACTCTATGTGATAAATCGAAATAAAACGAGTGTTACATTCCAATTTACTGATCACAACAAACCAGCTGAAAAGATAGGAGTTGAATACCAAAATAAAGTAACAACTTATTGGAAAAAAATTGATGACATGTTTGTGATACCTTTAATTAAAGATAAAGTGAACATACAAATGGTTTCATACGATGACGAAAAAATAAGATTCAAAGGAATTAATCTCAGTGAAGAAAATTCGTTTACTGCTGCGGTGCGATATATTTCAGTGGACACAAAACCATGTAAGTACATAACAGACACCCAAGTGTTCAATTCAAGTGCTTTTGATGAGGATAAGTTGACATACCAAAAATGGCAAGTTTGGACTATCAATGAAAAATTGGAAGGACACATGTTCGAATGGGGAAAGAACGAAGTATCGTTTATAGCAGAAGGAGGAAATATAACTCTATGTTTCTTCTATGCAAATTCATTCAGAATTCAGAAGGATTTTAAAGAGATGGTAGTCGTTTTTGATACTGATGGAGATTATGAATTTATTATTACGCATATTTTACAAGACACTTCTGTGACAGAATTAAATTTTGATACGATCAAATTGATTCAGGCCGGACTCCCAACAAAATATCAAAGAATTAATGGGGGGAAAACAATCGAATTAAGAATAGCGTTTAATTTAAAAACAAAATTATTTGCAAATGTTGTGACAATCACTCAGAAATTCAGTAAAGGTTCTCATGTAGTATTGAAAAGTGCTTATTTGATTAGAGAAGAAGAACTTGTAGACACCGATAAATGCAATTCAACTTCTTTTGATTGCTTATTTACTGAATGCACAATCAGCAACGAATCATATCCAAATGGTGACTCCCCTTTCCAAAAAGCATGCGAACCGGCATGTGGAGTGTGTCGAGATGGATTTGTATGTTCGACTGCTGGGAAATGTATTGTCGAACCCTCATTTAACATAAGAGATTATAGTATAAAGACAGCTGTAGTCTTTTTGTTATTAGTGATATTTTTGTTATAACAATTTTATGGTTAATCTGTATTTTGTTAATATTTATACAAAATTAAAATATAGATGATGAAAAAGTAATTCTTTTAAAATTTTATCTGTTTTAATTAACACATACGTGTATTTTTCGAATAACATTATTAATTGTTACGTTAAAATGTAAAATCAAATTGCAGTATTCACTTTGATTAAAAACTTATTGTAAATTGTGTTTTTCTTTTTAGTATTATTAAAGAAATATTTAAAGAGTAATTGAGAATAACCCAAAATAACAATCAAAATAAAATGTTAACATTAATTTATAATTATAGTAAAGAAATGTTCAATTTATTTCAATTGGATTTTTTTGTAACAATGACCATAAATTAAAAAGGGTATAATTATATTTGTGTTTTTAGAAATAAGAAAAAATAGTATTATATTTTAATATTATTTTGATAACATATAATAATGTATAAAAACTAAATGTAAAAATATTGTTTTAGGGGCATATTGCATTGATAATACCCAGATAATTGTCATCATAATCATCTTTTGACACACAAGCTGATTCAAAAGTTGATAAACTAGCAAATATGGCGCCTCCTTTCCAAGCAGCAAGATCTCTATTTTCTGGTGCAGTAAAATCCAATCTTTTGCAGATATAGGTGCCAATTTAGTAAATTCGGTTTTAACTCTCTCCACAAAGCCAGGCATCATTGTGTTACCGCCAGCCAACACAATATGACCATATAATTCATTTCTCACATCTGGATCAACGTGCATGAGCATATCATTAGCTCGATCAATAATACCATCTATTTCCTTTCCACATGTTTCTGGTTCAAACAATTGTTCAGCACATTCAAATCTCTCAACACCAAGTTTGATTTCTTTTCCATCTGGGAGGTTGAAAGTTTTATCCAGTTTGTTTGCGTCTTTTTTCTTTTCTTCTTCATAATTCTGAGCAACATAACAAAGTTTTTCTTTCAAATCAGCCAAAGTTTCCTTTTCTAAGTAATCTTTGAAGGTGAATCCATTTGTGTTTGCAAATTTCTCAAGTGAGTCGTTTACATCTTGTCCAGCAAGTTCTAAACGCGACACACCAACTTGCACCTTTGAACCTTCATAAACAGGCACAAATTGAGTAACTCCATGACCATATTCAACACAAAAGCCAGTGCTTTTACCAGTCGACAACAGGGATCATACAGGTTGCGAAATTAGACAAAAATTTGGAACATATTCACAAAACAAAAAAATCACACATTTTTTTCTGTTCTTTTGTGGGTATTTACTGATTCTATTATTAAAAATGTGTCATTAGGAAAACAA